CATGCAAATGCTCTGTTTATAATAACATTTAAACATTTAAGTTATTAAACAGAGCATATACTTAAATATTTGTATCTATAAAATATATACATTCTTTTTAGAATGTATAAACATAAAAATGTCTTTGTCCATTTCATAATGTGTGACATACATATATGTATATCAAGATATTTTATACTGTTTATTTGTATGGTCTTGTTCAGGAGGGTGTGTTTAAATATAAGTGTGCATATTTACAAGTAGAAGTAATATGCATGCACAGTTCAATATATATATATATATATATATATATATATATATATATATATATATATATATATATATGTATATCATTTATACTATCCCCCATTGTCCCTCATCATTCGCCATATTTTTCATATTTGTCACAATCAGTTTATTTCGAACTGAACACTTATTTCGCTCACTGGGGTAGACTGTTCTGGTTCCACGTAAAGGGTTCAGTTCGAAATTCAACCACCTGAAGAAGGTCGGATACAACGGCCCAGAAACGTTGTGATAAATATGGCGACAAAGATGAGGACAATATCCGAATAATGTAAATAATTAAAAAATACACTATCTCAGAAATATATATATATATATATATATATATATATATAGGTATGTATTTTCCATTTATTAATTGGCATAGTTTATTTTATTGCTTAAACGTTATTTGAAGTGGATACCCATCTTTGAGTATCCGATTATTTTGTAAACTGTATATATATATATATATATATATATATATATATATATATATATATATATATTCCTCGACCGGCCTGAATATTAGAAATATTATTAAAGAAAAGGCAGGAATCGAACGTGCGTTCCTCCAGGGGAAATCGTCATTAGATTTGACGTTCTTCAACTCCTCGGCTACAGAAAACACTCTGGCAAAGCAAAGCCCGACTCGTTCTTTTGAACACAGATCTTTCCCGATTCTCAGCATTTACATCTCTGGTCAGTGTCATATCTTAACGTTAACAAAAACAAAATTAAAGACGTTAACAAATTTTTAGGAATGTTTTTTTGTTTTTTTCATTTATGAACGCTTCATTTTTATTCATATTTGTATTTGAAACGGTGTTTATTAGGTTCATTTCTCTTAAATCAATTTTTTCCGTTTTCTATGCATATTTAGTTATTATTCATCTGTGTACATATATATGAAAAGTATGTTTATTTATTAGTTGGAAATACAATAAATTAAAAATTTATATGTATACGAATATTTGTTCCACCATCCACTGTATATATATGTATAACGTCTCGTCTTAATCTATGCAAAACCATAAGTTGTTTATGAGCCATAAAAAATCAGCCCACTTTCTAATATTTCTCTTTATCTATCCTCCTATGTAGAAGTGGAGGCTGGACAATATCCTCAAAGATGAAGAAGAGTAACAGAAATGTTATTTTACAGAAGGATGCTAAGGCTACCTTGGACCGAATATGTGAGCAACGACGAAATTTAAGAGAAGATAGAAACAAAAAGGAAACTCATATTTAACACCAGGAAAAGACAGTTGAAATTTCTATGGCACATAATAAGGAAAAAAGGGCTTGGAAAATTTGATACTCACAGGGACAGATTGAAGGCAAGACGGACAGAGGAAAGCAAACGCATGGCATACAGAGTGAGCTTGAGTAAATGGATGGCGGAAGAAGGCTTAGGAGAAATAAGAAAAAGACAAAAATTAAGAACTACAAAGGAGAGGAAATTGTGGAGAGCTATGATCGCCTACGTCCTAAGGGAAGACGGCACATAAAAAGAAGAATGTAGAATTCTGCAGTGAAATCTTTTTAAAATTGAGCTTAAACACATTCGTCAAGTACAGATAAAAACAACGTAATTCTAAAATTCAAGTGAGAAGTAATAAATCGAGCAGCAGCAGAAGAAGAAGAAGAAGGAGGAGGAGGAGGAGGAGACACCATGCATACCTAGCGAGCTGAAGAGAAATATTCATAAATATATGATTTGTTTTTTACGGTTTGTCAACCATTTGATAATTATTTAGGGCTGAAAAAATATTTCGGTTTAGAATAATTTTTTCTTTACGTCTGCGGATCTGGAAGAAGGAAAGAGAAAACGAAGAAGAAAGAAAGAAAACATACGAAACCAGGTCATAAGCGACAGCACACGGGCACGGCTGACAGATACCAGATGTCGAAAAAATCAGGTCAATCACCTGACCTTCATTCCCGTGTCCACGAAAAAATTGAAGTTTGTTATCAAATGGTTGAAGAAACAAAGTTTAGGGACAATGAAAAATATGATAGGTAACAGGTGGGAAGTGTATCTAGGATATGAAGACAAACCATTAATACGAAAACACAAACAATTTCCAGAATTGAAAAAAGCCACAAGATGATGTTCGCTGAAAATGCTTTTTTGAGATAATGAAAATGTTTATTATCGGGCCTTTGGCCGGGAAAAAGGGAAATATTTTATTCGTTCACGGAAACGCCAACAGGTCTGAGAAATCCCTTTTCTAGGTCATATCAATTAACGATAAACCGCGACAAATACCACGTGTTAAAAAAGCCGAATGTGTCAGCGCAGTCGCTCATGATAAGGGCAATTTAAATTTTTGTTTTTTAAGCGGGTGTTTTTCCCCAGAACAAAAGCCACAGATTGTCCACACTGACTAAAGACGTCATTGGCAAATAAGATCACATGACACACGAAGGAGGAGAAAGATACCCGACCAGACGTCACACAAATAAGATCACATGACACGAAGGAGGAGGAAAGATACCTGACCAGGACCATTGGTCGAAAGCGGTCACATGACACGAAGAAGGGGGGAAGGGTATACGCCCTCGAGGGCACAATAAGAGGTGGGAGGAAAGAGTTACAAAAATGGAAATCCCTAACCAGAAATAAGAAGGGTGGATACGTATTTAGAATTATCAAAGAAGAATCCCCGACGCCAGACAGACCCACCCCGGTTTTGACGGCGTCAATAAAAGGAAACCCAACCGACAGAAATGAGATCAGCCGCGGACGGCGAGCGGATTGCAGTTTGAGCCGCGGACGGCGGGGTCGATTCGTTCCCCACCCCTAGCGGGCAGGAGAGGCCAGTTTGTTTACCTGGAAGTGGAGAAGTTGGAATCAGGGTCAGCCGAAGAAGAAGTTAATTCGCGCACTGACGGCGGAGATGATGACCAGTAATTCAGACTCTGAAGAGAAGAAGTTGGAGTCAGATCAGCCGTGGACGACAAGCAGAGATGAGCGCCCAGTTTTGAAACCGCGTCAAGATAGCTGACCAAGATTCACGCACACCTCTGGACTCTTCTTCAACCAAGAACAAGTAGTTTGAAGAGCGACTTAGAATCAGACCACAGAAATAAGTTTTTTTTTCGCCTTTGTCCAAAGACACACCGAAACACAAATTTCTTAGAGAGCAGACAACTGGAAGCCTTAAAGTTTCCCTAGTAAAAGCGTCGTGCCACAATCCACAGAACGGGTCGGGAGGTGACATAGTCCCATGTACCGAGCAAATAGACATAAAAAGTTTGTTACCTTTTTTTTGATACGTTGACCTTGTGAGTTTTATTTATTTTCTTTATACCTAATTGTGTGTATCACCCCCTGTTGGACTCAACAATTGCATTACGGCCCTTAACCCCTGTTTGATCTCGTCTGTTCAAGATCAATTCCAACGTGGGTAGACAGACTGGAGATCAGTGCAGTTACCCTGGTAACCAAGCGTTGGAAGCAGGTTGGGAACGGCGAGGTTGGTATCAATTCAACCAAAGGGTTAGAACGTCACGTTTGGAGCAGCGAGGAGCGAACAGCTGACGCCGCAGCGAAGACGTCACAGTTGGTGCTGTCCGTGACCAGGATATCAGAGCCTGGGGAGCACGTGACGTCACAATTGGCGCCGCGACCGGGATCGAACGACACAGTCGACGCTGCGACCGGGGACGACGTCACAAGAAGAAGAAGGAGGAGGAGGAGAAGAAGAAGAAGAAGGAGGAGGAGAAGAAGGAGGAGGAGGAGAAAAAGAAGGAGGAGGAGAAGAAGAAGAAGAAGAACTAGAAAAAGAAGAAGATGATGAAGAAAAAGAAGAAGAAGAAGATGAAGAAGAAGAAGAATATATCAAACTCTTCGCCAAAGACGACAATGGGTAGAAGGGTATCCTCAATACTGTAAAATATTTCAGTGATGACATTGGTACGGATTTCGGATTAGATAAATGTGCAAAGGTAATATTCAAGAAAGGGAGATTTATAGAAACACACTCAATGGATTTAGATTTTGACACAAAGATTAAGGAACTGGAACAAGGAGAAGCCTATAAATACCTAGGAGTCAGCGAATGAAATAGAATACAGTCTACCCAAATGAAGGAGAAAGTAAGAAAAGAATACTACAGGCGGCTGGGTCTGCTGTTAAATACCGAGTGGAATTTACAAATCAGAATATCAGCCATATGCATTTTGGCTGTCCCTGTGGTTCAATACAGTTTCAACATCCTTAATTGGACCACAGATGACATTAAGCGAATGAATCTCGAAACGAGAAAGCGCCTCACTTGCCTCCGCATTGCAAGAGGTTGATCGTCTGTATGTGTCCAGATGCGAAGTAGGCAGACGATTAGTTCAACTAGAACTTCCTTACAAAATCACAGCAATCAGTCTTCAAAGATACTTGGAAACTCTAGAAGACTGGAGGATGATCTCTGTCAAAGAAAATGAAAAAAAAAAACACTTTATTCAATAATAAAGGACGTGAATTTCAAGTGGGTGAAGAAGTGCAAATAAACCAGAATAACATCTTCGGAGTTTTAAATGGTATAATTCTTTGGGGGTGTTTCTGGTGATTTTGTTTGAACTCCAGATCTGTGTTAAATTCTTCTCGTTGTTGAAATAGAAAATGTTCAAACGAAAGAAGTAAACACAGACACTGGAAATAGTTTTTAAAAAATTTATTAAAGGATAGCAACAGTCTGTTGAAGGGAAGTGCCTTCCTGAACAAAAGACACGTGTTTATTCGTTGAAAGTTCAGGGGAAAAAAGCGCGATTTCTCTCGTTTGTTTTCGGCGCCAGGAAGCCCCTCTTTTTCCGCGCATGCGCCATTTATTCTTCCTGTCAGGGATCATCCTGGGCGATTCTTCTTTTTTTTTTTCTTTTATCTCATTTTGTGTTTTTTTTTATTTTTATTATTTTATAAATTACACAATCCCCACGCATCTACTGCAGCGGCAAAGTACCTAAAAAAGAAATCAAAAGCAAATGCCGGTACCAGTCAAGCTGATGTAAACAAACCCTGTACCCATCAGTGGCTACGTAGTGCAGGATTAAAAGCTGAAACTGAAGGTTTTATTCTTGCTGACCGCAAAAACAGAATGTGCTTTCTTATTGACGTTGTCGTCTTTCAAGATCGTGACGTATCAAAACGCAAGGATATTGAAGTGGAAATCTAAAAAATATGGCAAACGAGGACATCAACAGTTCCAATTGTAGTTGAAGTTGATTGGAAAAGGTTCCGATAGATTTATTGAAAGGATCCCTGGAGTACAATTTTTAGTATTTCTATAAGGCTTGGACGCCTTATAGAAATACTAAAAAATGTACTCGTAAGTACAATTCACATTTTACGAAGAATTTTATCTATGTAAAACGTGTTCGATCTCAACTATTTTTTTTTTTTTTTACAAAAATGATCGGTGGAAAATGTCATAAATCAATTTCTGAGCTTAGGTCTCTGGTTGGGACACGGAAGGAAATGTGTATACAACAGAAATCAAAGGAAATAATAATAATAATAATAATAATAATAATAATAATAATAAGGAGTTTCAAATAGGCGTAGAGATACAACTACAGCACAATACACCGGCTGAAACTGCAAAATACTTAAAAAAGACAGCAAAGACGAATGCAACCGACCAGATGCAGAAGTGATGGCAAGATAAACCGCTTCATGGCCAATACTCTGCCCGTACCAGACAAGCTGACGTAGACAAAACCCGTACCCATCAGTGGCTACGTAGTGTAGGGTTGAAAGCTGAAAGTGAAGGTTTTATTCTTGCTGCACAGGACCAATGCTTGCTAACTAGGAATTATCAAGCACATATACTAAAATATTGTGTCAGCCCAAAATGCAGATTCTGTGATAAATATCCAGAAATGATTGATCATCTTGTATCAGCTTGCACTATATTGGCACGCACTGAATATAAAACCCGGCATGACAGAGTGTGCCAATATCTGCACTGAAAAATCTGCAACTTCTACGGGAAGGAAACTGAAAGAAAATGATATGAACACCACCCAGACCCGGTTACGGAGATAGGACCTGTTACAATTCTATGGGATTACACAATACACACTGACAGAATAATCAAAGCCAACCGCCCAGATATTGTTATTAAAGACCACAAACAAAAAACAGTGCCTCCTTATTGATATGGCAGTCCTTGCAGACTGCATTGTATCTCAGAAGATATTCAAAAAGCTCAAATTACAAGGACCTTGAAACAGAAATCTCAAAAATGTAGCATATGGGAACATCAACAATCTCTGTTGTAGTCGGAGCCCTAGGATTGGTTGGAAAAGATTCCTGGAAGTCCATGCCTCAAGGAAATACAAAAAATTGTCTGACAAGTACAGCCCACACTTTACGAAGGGCTTTATTTGTGTAATTTTTTTTTTTTTTTTTTTGTCAGTGGAAAGTGTCATGATGCCATTTCTAACCCGGACAGAAATGTGTAAACGCCAGAAATCTAAGAAAATAATAATAATAATAATAATAATAATAATAATAATAATAATAACAATGGACAGGTAGTGGTTTTAATAAACTGAAGCAATAATAAAAATAGCATCGACATCAACAAAAGTAGTATGAAGAGCAACAACAAAGCAACACTGAAATAAATAATATTATTACTAAGAAGAAGGAGGTACAAAAATAAGGAAACATGATGGCAATATGGTAAACAGTTCCGGTGCTCCTACGACACCTGGAGTCATTTGGCAACGGCGCGTAATTCTGGCGGGAATAACAACAACAACAGAACACGACTGTCATTGTTACGACGATACCGAGAAAGGTGCTGGATTCTTGATGACACTTGTTCTCACCTAATGCTTTGTAATCGCGATTTTCTAAGCGTAGCTTAGATGTGGCACAAGGCCGAAAGTATGAGGCACTCCCTAAACAGTTGTAGTTGTACTAGCGAGTTAAGCTGCTTACTATTAGACCACGTCGAAATCCCCCGTAATCCCTTCTAATGGCCGCCAAACATCTGACGTGAACATACAAATACATGAATTAATAATAATGATAATTTTTATATAATCACTATTGTCACTACTAATAACAATAATAATAATAATAATAATAATAATTATTATTATTATTATTATTATTATTATATAATTAATGATAATAATAAATTACATGTATCAGTTAATAAATTTTTTTTTGCAAATATTTCCTATCCCATCTTTCCCTCGGTAAGGGATTGTACTAAAGGGATG